GGTATCAGTTCAATCGCTTCGAATCCCTCCAAGCAGACTGACGCACTCGCGCGATTGTTGCAATCTCGGGACGATCTTTGTGTTCAACAATAGCTCGCATTATTCGCGACAACAAAGGACAGGGGGTGTACGGCTGCTTAGAGGCTTTTCCCCTATGAAGATTTGACATTACTGATGCCGCTCCAGAATTTACAATGTCTCAAAAAAAGACAAATCCCCCTCTAATGCTCATACGCCATCGATCCTCCACTCCTTCACGTCCGTGACATCGTGAGGACGTCACTGGTGTGGAACACTGCGCGCCTGTCCTCCGAGTGTCAACAAAACCCTTATGTGACAGGATATCAGCGGTACACACCATCAGCCCCATCTATCCAGCTGTATTTGCAAAGCCCTTATTGACAAAACAAAGTAAGCATCTCCTCTCTGAGAAATCGGTTCACATAAGCTGGGCTAATGCTCCGATTTTTAATGCAATCCAGAAGCTTGAATATGAGCTCAGGATCAAAGTGGGGCCATTGTATGACCTCAGCAGAATTCATCAGACCAAACATTCGACGACAAAATTTGTTCGCCTATTTGCATTTTTTGAGGGCCCTACAAAAGAAAAGAAAAGTAGGGAAACCTACCCCATAGACACTGCAACTTTCTTGTCGTGAGAGTCAAAACGGCATGTGGACGCCATCAAATCACCTTTCTTGATCACTGGGTTGTGGGTAATGGTTTCGAACAACTGGAAATAAAACCATAGTAATTCAGCTCTGTTTATATGAAAGGCAATAACATACAGATTTGCTGTTCATTTGGCTACTTAATAAAAATGAAGAATGTTCGAAAACGTATAGATGCGATTGAAAAAATCATGCAAAATGGCGTCTTGAAGGCACTTACCTGAGGCCATTGCGGATTCCTAACTCCGATTTTATTCCATTGTCCATCATGTTTGTAAAATGCCGACACCACTCGTCCCATAGCATGAGTATGCGTTCGGAAAGCAAACGGATGCAAGTCGATTTCTTTGTCATACTCACAGCTTGTGTTAATCTACAAGAACTTCCGCGAATCATATTGTATTAAAATTGTGCTATGAATCAATACCTGAACTTGGCTTCTCATTGGAGGTATAGGCTCGCCAGAGACAAACAAAAGAACAGCAGCAAGATTGGCAGGCTTCTTATGAGTCATATGTAGCGTGACTCCCGAAAAGTCGACTACATCTCCGCCAAAAGGTTGAGCATAGTGAACCT